TGAGGATGAGAAAAAAAAAAAAAAAAAAAAAAAAAAAACACCAAAGATGAGACTGGCTGAAACAGGACAATACAGAACAGGGTTCTGAGGTGGCGCGCTCTCCTCTGCTGAGCTCACACTCACCTCAGTGGCTGCCAGTAAGTACAGTGGTGTCAGGGCAGGGGCTTGTCGTGTGTCACAGCTCAGGCCCAGGGCTGTCAAGATCTCCTTTATGACTTCATACCGCTTGATATTGCTTGATTTGAGCAAGTGAAATTCTTCTGGGGTTTGCAGTACAGAGGAGCTGGGAGGTAGTTCTAAGAACACCTAAGGAAAAAGATACACTTAGTAAATCGGGCCCCCAGGAGAGACGGTTTCATCGGCCAAGCGTGATGGTACACACCTGTGATCCCAACACACAGAGGCTGAGGCAGGGGGACTGCTACAAGTTTGAGGCCAACCTGGGCTACACAGTGAGCTCCTACCAGCCTGGCCAATATAGTGAGACCCTGTCTCAAAAAACAACAATAAAATGGGGAGAGTGGAGCTTCATTCCCAGGTTTTTTTGAAAACTTGGCCATGAATTGTTCTCTTTATCAACAGAATATTAACTCTGAACCTAAATATCTATAAAGTAACGAGAAGCAAATAACAAAAGGAAAGTATTCAAAAAGCCCTCTTAAACCGAAACTTCCAGGCAAAAGGGCACTGTGAAATGGACCTTGGAGGGCCGCAGGCCACTGCCAGGCCGTGTGACTGTGGGCAAGTCATGAGACGGTGCTGGGACCCGAGGACACATCCAAAGGCCTTCCTACACCTTCCTTCACCTCCTGAGCCCCATGAGTCGGGGCTCCCTGTGTTTGGTCATGTGAGTCCTGCAAGGAGAAACCATTTGCCCTCCACGCCCCGTGGAAGTCAGATTTGAACTGAGCAGAAAAGCTGAATTACCCGAACATCAAGTACCCGAGGCACCACCCGGGCCTATTGCCTTTGTTTTGTTTCTGCCTCCTGGATGCAGAGCTCCTGACTCGAGGGTTGTGGAAAGAAAAAGCACAGTGCCAGCCCCCAGGGAACTACAAATCTCCCAGTTCCCTAAGGCAAACACACTGGGTGAATACGCTGCCCGCAGAGGTAAAAATATCCAAGGTTGGTGCCATGCTGGAAAGGCCTTCAGAGCAATGTTCAACTCGGCTGGAGCACAGCTGGGCAGCTGCAGGCAGCAGGGCATCTGCCCTCCAGCTGGCGCCCGGTCTCCTGCGTGCCAGGGAGAAGCCTCGGCTCTCCATGGACAGCAATGCCACAGGGCAGCCCGATCTCGAGCGAGCAGGTGGCCACCCTGGAGGGGAACCCTCACATGAGGGAGAAATAAGACCAGCAAAGCATGCTCCCCGGAGCTCACGTGAGGAAGAGGCACACGATTAAATACGCACCCACTCACCCGGCAGCGGGAATGCAGATACCCAAGAAATGCTGGCAGTGAAGAAGGCTGCGCACATTTTCACAAGAAAGAGGCTGAGGGGAGAAAGTAATCGTGCGCAGGCAGGCCTCTGAAAATGGCAGAATGCCTTCCTTGACTGTTTTACAGTTTCAAGACTTCAGGGTTAGTGGCACACGCTTGTAATATAAGCACTTGGCAGGCTGAGGCAGAAGGATCACTGCAAGTTCGAAGCCAGTCTGGGCTGCACAGTGAGTTCACAACCAGTCTGAGCTGCATAGTGAGACTCATCTCAAAAAAAAAAAAAAGAAGATTTAGGTGTTGGCCTGGGGTAACACTTGCCTAATACGTGCAAGGCTCTGGGTTAAATCTCCAGCACCACAAAAAATAAAAACAGGTCTTGGTGCTTCTATAATGGCAGTGAGAAGAGATGCCACTGTGGTTCCCAACAGGGACCAAACAACAGGCAGGGGATGTGTGCGGTGGACGTGCTCCTGGTCCTCCAGGTTGCAGACCAAAGTCTCTTCCTCTGTGGGTGCTGTTGTGACTGCAGGGACAAGCCCATCTCTGTAACCTGGGTTCTCAACTGAACAACGGCTCCGGCTCCTGCCAGGATCAGGGGCACCACTGCAGCGCGCTGGGCAGAGACCAGGTACTGCTAAACACCCTCAGGTGCACAGGGTGTCCTCAGGGCCATGGCTGAGGAACCACTGCACAAGCAGGGCCACCGCTAGGCACACCAGCAACACCATAATTCCACGCCGGGGCTGGCCAACTTCAGCCCAAACTCCCGCGCAAGGCCAGAGCTGCAACTGTTCCCTGCACACCTGACTAGCACAGCAGGCACAACATTTCCTTTCCCTTTTGCTTTGTCACTGCCGATGCGAAGGTGTCCTGGGGGCACTCGCCTGGCCTGGACACCACCGCTCCAGCGTGCGGCTGCGCCTCGCCCTGGAAGTGCTTGCCCGCGCCTACTGGGCTCCATCGTTACTAGATTCCCCACAGAGAAGAGGACTGTGAAGTTGAGCAGAGAAAGGGGAGACGAACCAGCCTGGAATCCTATCTATTGGTTGCTCTCAGGGCAGTGTCACCACAACACAGTCCTGAGAAGAAGAAGAAACCAGTGTGTGACTGCTGTGTCACTCAGGACACTGGAAGTTGTTTAAAATCAAAACGACGTCCTCATCCTCGGAATCCAACCGCAAAGCTTTATCAGACTGCCTTTTGTTTCTGGGCAATGGCTGCAGTATCAGATTTTATGACAGGAACGGGCTCAGTTTAAACAGCGTGGCCATCAGATTCGCTGTGTAACTCAGAGAACTGGATCCCAACGTTGCTGAATCTATTTTCTAGTACACGCTGGTGTGCAGAAGTGGTAAACTCGCTCTTCAAACCTGAAATATGGCTCTAGGAAGTTGGGTTTTCGGAGAATGTGGGTTGGTACAGTGACCGAACTTGCTGTGGGAGGCCAAGAGGGACATTTAGGAGGCCGCTGGACAGCCCATGTGCCATCTCTAACCAGGAATGACCTTAAGAACAAATGAGTGCACTTCAAACAGCAGTTCTGAAGAACGCCTGCTCAGAAGACCAACGGCTTCACCTGCTGGGAGGGCTGGGAAGAGACTGGCATAACAACAGAGAGCAGAACAGCAACTGAGCCATTCTCCGACTGAATGAAAAGATCCCTAGGACAAAAGGAACACCAGTACGTCCATCTCTGCATGTCTTGTGGGCAAAACACCCGCAGCCCGGGTCTCATTCTACAGGGAACCCTGAGCGGGCAGAGGGAGCGGCCATCAGCTCTGACAGCAGCTGGGCCCGAGGCGCCCAGATCACTCCACCGGGAGCTAAGAGAAAAGAAGCAGAGCCAAGGACTTCTTCAGCACATGGAGCAATCTCCGCATGTCCATCTCCCCAACCTGTGTATAAATACACCATCTAATCTAAATAACTTCAACATTCTCTTATTTGGAGCTTTTCACAGCAGTTAAGATTTTTTTTTATTTTGGTTTTGGTTCGGAGATAGGGTTTTGCTATGTAGCCCAGGCTGGCCTCAAACTTGAGATCTTCTTGCATCAGCTTTCTACAGATTACAGACATAATCACTTAAGATTTTAAGAAAGACAGATTATAAAAAAGGAATTAAAGACGTGAGGATGATTTTCTTGTTGATATAGTTATTTTTAGTCTTGGGGGGGGTTTTCAGTTTTTCAGACAAGGTCTCACAATGTCATTTAGGCTGGTCTTGAAGTCAAACTCATGGCGGTCCTCCTGTCTCAGGCTCCTAAATGCTAGGATTACCGAGATGTGCTACCACTCGCGGCTCTCCAGGATGATTTTAACACTATCTCTACAGTCAACTGCAGTATTTTATCAGGAAGTTCACTGCTGTTGGGAATCACTAAATCTTCCAATTTCCCACATTAACTGAAGGCTTGATGATAATAGCCACAGTGAGCTTTGAAGGAGACTAACATGTTTTAGAAAAATTACTATCAGTAATACCGAAACAAGAGTTTTCTAACTAGCCCCTGGCTAACCAGGAAGCCTAATTAACCTCAACACCTCCTGCCTCATCCTCCCATCCTAAGAGAGTTTCCTACCAGCAAAACCACCAGCCCAAGGCCATTCCCCCCACACACACACAAACCCTTGAGACCCTTAACAGCAGCCTCCTAGAGCTCACGCCCTCCGCCACCCTCAGTACCTGGCAAAGAATGGCTTCCCCTCCGTGGGCCCCAGAAGGCACTTGCACAATCACCCTGTCGTTGTCCTCATTCTCCAGGTGGCCCTGCAGCCGGCCGGGGCCCAGCAGCTCTCCAGGGGCCTCCTTGAAGACAAAACCACTGCACAGAGCATTGAGCTTCACGTCGCCCTGGCCCACCTTGGAGAACACCAGGTTCTGCACAGTGCCCTGCAGCACAGCCTTGCTGGTCACCTGCCAGCCACCAAGCAGGAAGGAGGAAGATAGGCTGAGCACCTTCCCGCCCTGTGCGAGGTAGGCTGTGAACCTGTGGTGCACATCCTCGGGGATGGGTTCCCCAGCGGTGATGACCAGCAGCAGGCAGCTGTCTGGCCATGGGTCCCTGCGAGCGCTGTCCTCCGACAGTGGGTACAGGAGGTAGCTGTCGCTGTCTACACAGTCAGCCAGCAGGGCCCGGACCTGCTGCAGCCGGCCGGAGGCATCCTGGGTGCCAGAGCCCCCATAGAGGAGGATGTTGGGTGCCTTCCTGGTGGCATTGCCTCTCCTGCCCACCCCTTCCGGGCCAAGCTCGTCAGAGGCTCCTTGCAGACCACTGGCATGGGAGAGGAGCTCAGGGATGTCCTCGTCGGACGCGAACCTCACGGACTCGATGGTGCTGCTCTCCAGCTCCAGACACTCGTGGCAGCTGGACAGGTGCAGGTGTCGGTGCTTGGCAGGGCCGCAGGGCTCACTGTCCTTGGCAGGCACAGTGCTCGGCGTGGAGGCCTCTGCGCCACCTTTCCTGTCCCCTGAGGCCTTCATCTCCAGGGAGGGCTCAGTGCTGGGCTGCACGACTGGGGCTTGGCCAGAGGCAGCCTGGTCTGCGAGCTCCTGCAGAGCAGAGTCCTGCAAATGCACCGCTGGGGCGCATGGGCAGAAGAACAGCATGGGTGCCCGCTCCGGTGCAGCCCCGCCCCCAGCTCCAGCGTCTCCTACACACACTGCACAGCCTCGCCCTCACACTCCCCCCTTTTTTAAACTTTTCAGTACTGGGTATTGAGCCCAGGGCCTTAGCCCTGAGCTCCATCTCTAGGACCCTCCCTTTTAATTCTATTTTGAGACCAGGTCTCACTAAGAGGCTTCACTCCTCTTACTGACTGGTAAAGAAAGGGAGATTCAGAGAGGTGATTTTGCCTACTTAGCTAAAAATTCCATTTATTCGATGTTATTTTCCTGTGTGGTAATGCAGCTGAGAAATAAAAAGGTCACGCAGGTAGAGTGGATCCAAGCACAGCCGAGGAAGGGTTATATAGTCTTCTCTCAGGGCTGCAGTACAAATTCATGATCACTAATTACCAACCTTTACTGAGCGGGGGCCAGTGGTACACGCCCACAATCTCAGCAGTCGGGGTCTAAAGCAGAGGCCCTGGGGATCCTGAGCTCAGGGCCAGCCTGGGCCACATCCTGAGTGCAAGGCAAACCCAGGCTGCATAGAGAGACCCAGTCTCGGGAAAAGAAAAAGGCTGCGCACTGGCTATGCACCTACCACAGTGCAGGGCAGGTGCACGAGCGCGTAGCACACCGCATGACTGACACTCACTGCCTACGGTATGAATGGGGACTGTTTGCCCTCCAGTTCCCTTTCCCATTGGATCTGAACACTGGTCGTGGTGGTCAAAAAGGAGGAAAAGTAATGCTGAAGCTGGCCTCACAACTTTATAGTCTGGTATACAGCACGTGGGCTAGTTTCAAACAGGGTAAAAAAATAAAAGTTAAAAACAAATTAAAAAAAAAATTTTTATATGGAAACTTTTTAACTACAGAAAGCCCACACAGAATGTCTAACGAGGAACTGTTTGCATGATTCCTAAAGAAAAGATTTGCCCCCCACATAATTGTGAAATATGTATTTTAAGTAAAAGCTGCCAGATTTAGAACTTCATGGTGACACTATGCAAAACCACAGTCTAGAAACTATTTATATCATGTTAAAGAAGCAAGTGTTCTGAAATGAATGCCAGCTCACAGATGATGCAATTAAGAAAAATCCTGACAGAAGCTGGGCGCTGTGGGAGGCTGAGGCAGGAGTATCGTAAGGTCCTCCTGCTTGCCTGGAAAACATAACAAAATACCCTCAAAATTAAAAAAATAAAATAAAATTAAAAACAAGGGATATAGTTCAGTGCAAAGGCCCTGGGTTCAATCCCCAGTACCATTAAAAAGGGTGGGGGGGGGGTTAGCTCAGTGGCACCATACCTGCCTCATAAGCCAAGGTCCCAAATTCAATCCCCGAACCCACCCCCCAAATCTAGGCCAGGGACTTAGCTCAGTGATGCTGCCACCTGCCTCACAAGCATAAGGTCCTGAGCTTAATCTTGATACCAAAAAAAAAAAGGTCTAAGAAATCCTGTACACACTAATGATATATCATCCCCTCGCCCCTCAAAACTCTTGACACCTATATGAATTTTATACTTTTAGGGTTAAATCAAACCTGCTGGCTGAATTAAACTGAAACTACTCTTGGCCCCTTCCTCGAGTGACCCACCACACCCACTAGGACAGAAGTCTTTCCAAAGTTACTCACAAACGATCTTCTGGGGCACCAGCCCGTTCTCCATCTGGAGCCTGTCTTCCATGAACGCTGCCCCCAGCCTGCTGAACTCGTCCACGCTCGCTTCTGCAATTAACTGGTAGGGATGCCCTGGACGGCAAGCTAAGGGTAGACAGCAGTCAGACCACTTGACAATCTGAGAAAAAGGATGAAGAAGAGAGAAGTTGAAATTTTTCAACTCTAAAATAACCACTTTATTTTTCCTGTCAGGCTGCTCACAAATAATAATGTATGCAGTCAGACCCAACAAATTACTGGATATTGCATTCCACTAGTATCCGTTGTTTTGGCCTGTGTTAAGTTACTTTTCTCTCATTGCTGAGACAACCCAACACCCAAAACTTAAGGGGGGAAGGGTTTATTTGGCCTACAGTTTGTAGAGGTTCAATCCATACTCAGCTGGGTCCAAGGCAGGGATGGCAAACAGGCATCGCAGAGGAGAAACAACATGGCGCACACAAGACAGCAAAGGCAACAAGGGACCTTAACAGTGTCTTTCTGCCCCTTTTATCTACTGATATTAGGGCGACACCAAACCAATCATTTAGATGTAGTGGTTTAGTAATCACACGCCCTTAATCCCACCATCACACACTCCTGATTAAACTACCTTTGAAAAAGACTGCCTGAAGCAAGAGTGTGGCACACACCTGTAATCCCAGCGCTCGGGAGGCTGCGCTGGAGGATCACTCCAAATTCAAGGCCAGCCTGGGCTACACAGTGAGTTCAGAGCCAGCCTGAACTACAAAGCAAGACCTTGTCTCAAAAAAAGAAAAGAAAAAAAGAAAGACTGCATGAGGTTTGGGGGACATCTAGACATGTCACAACATAGCCCAAATGATTTCATTTGTGGCTGATAACAATGCTTCCAAATCACTCAGTACGATTCTCTCAATTAAAAGCAACTGAAGTCTCAGCTGCTAGCAGGAATAACAGGGGAAAAGGCTATTCCCCATGCAGGTGTCTTCAGTGACAGGGAACAGGAGAGAAGGACAAGTCCAGTCCCCATGACTTCTGTTAAGGGGTACACTGAGAGCCTCCCAGAGCTTCATGCACTAATAAGTGGGACTTTTGGAGGGTGAATGGCCCATGGGCCTCAGAGCTGACTTTGGGTCAGGAGGCGGGGCCTGGGCACAGGGGCGGGGCCTGGCAGGGTTTATCTGCCCCTCCAGCTCCTCCTTCTCTCTGCTTCCAGGATTCCAGCTCTCCCCAGATATGCTCGCGCAGGAACTGGTGACTCTGGACTGAACCCTCCACAAACTGAGCCAAAATCAGCCTCTCCTCCTTTGAGCTGTGGGTGTCAGGAACTGGGCCTCAGTGATGAGAAAGTGACTAAGACAACTTCAAATGGAACCTATTGGGGGAACACAGCTCTGGGTAGAGAGCTTGCTTAGCACACATGAGCCTCTCCCTCCATTCAGTCTTCAGCGGCCAAATGAAATCACAGGTGGCCTGCAAAGTGCAGGCCAAGCAGAACCAAAGCAAAACTCCTGGAGGGACCTCGGGCCCGCAGACTCCAGCCGCTGCAGCTCCAACCTGCTGCAGCAGATGGGGGAGGCAATGCTTGGGAATCAGGGGAACCCCAGGGGTCCCCACAAAGGGGAAAGGAGAGGGTGACTGTGAAGAATGCCGGACAGTTCACACAGCCACCACAAGGGGGACAGAGAAACCAGAGACAACTCCAGGCTTCAGGACTTTGGTTCTCGCACTGCGGGATGGGAATCTGTGACTGCTCAGGATACCCAAGGGAAAGGGAGCCATCGGGGAGCAGGGCCTGGCCTGGCCCTGCAGAAGTCACTGCACTCTCAGCTTCCTCACCAGTATACCAGGGGCCAGAGTGTTAATGCCCATCGTGGTGTACGTTTGAAGAGTGTGTGATGCCCCAGGTGAAATCCTGGTACAGAAAAAAGGGCTCCATCAATGACAACTCTCTCTATTACCTATTATGCACTTGGATTTAAAGACAACAGTGAAGCCAGGTGTGGGGCACACACTTAAAATCCCAGCACTCAGGAAGCTGAGGCAGGAGCATCACCAAGAGTGCAAGGCCAGCCTGGCCTACACTGTGAGACTCTATCTCAAAAAACATAATAATTTCTTAACTGTTGGTAGGAGTATAAATCGGTTCAATCAATATGGAAATCAGTTATGGAGATTCCTCAAAAAACTAAAACTAGAGGATCCATTTGTCCCAGCTGTTCCCCTTCTTGGTACCTTCCGAAGAGTTAAAAAAACATCATACCACAGTGATATACACACACTTATATTTATAGCAGCACAATTTGTAATAGCTAAATTTTGGAAATAGCTCAAATGCCCAGCAACCAATAAATAGATAAAGAAGATGTGGTTTTTTAATTTAATGGAGTACTGCTCTGCCATAGAGAAGGACAAACTTGAGACATTTTTAGGTAAATGAATGCACCTTGAGAACGTATTTAAGAGAAATAAATGGGACACATATGTTATCCACACTGTTTCTCCGGTGAGAGAAACTAAAAGGGTAAGTAAGGACCAAAATGGATGATAGATATTATGAAGTAGGAAGAAAACACTCAAACGGGAAGGGGAACGAAGGAGGGGAAGGGGGGGAAACGGAGGGAATGGGGACAAAAATAATAAAAAAGGATAGGAGGAAAACAATAGAAACAAGGTTTTCTAAAGGGAGAAGGGAAGAAGGATTGAAGGGAGGGGAATGGAAAAAAAGAATGAAGGTCTATTATGTACAAGTACAAACTCCCCATGGTGAATATGATCATTATGCATGTCAAAGTGTACCAATAAAATTTATAATAATAGGGCAGGGGATTTGGCTCAGTGGTTCCACCACCTGCCTGGAAAGCACAAGGACCTGAGTTCGATGCCTGGTACCAAAAATTAAATAAATTTATAATAATAAAAACCAATCGCAACAGTGAGCATCGTAGTCTCTAAGATGCCATGAACAAGGCCCTGACTCCCCAGAACTGTCTTCCCAATGACATACTCTCTCAACTTTCATAATCAGACACATAATTTTGAGTTCCTTTTTCCAAGGTTGGTGGACTAAGATTTTAGAGCTGACTCCTGCTGAAAACCATTTTATTAAATACTCGATAAAATAAGTCAGATGCAGTGGTGCACACCCGTGAGCTCAGCACTCTGGGAGGCTTAGGCAGGGGAATCACAAGTTCAAGCCTAGACTGGGTAACTTAGTGAGACCCTATCCTAAAGTAAAATAATAACAATAACCCTAATAATGCACTAATTGGCCCAGAATATCTGGAGAGAGACAAACCTCAGAATTCACTCCCCCTTACTCATCACCTGCTCTTCTCCTGGCCCAGACTTCCTGGGAGGGTCTACCAGCCTGGTGCTCGAAGAGTCTCCGTCTCCAAGCTGACAGCCTGAAGGGGACTCGGCAGAAGCTTAACCTCAACCGGTACACTGCAGGGACTCGCAGCTCTGGGGGCGCAGGAAGGACATCAGGCGAGGAGGAGGAAAAGACACTGCCAAGGTCAGAGACCATGCAACCTCCTGCATGACCCTGCACGCACCCAGCTTCCAGCACCTCAGGCCCAGGGCCACCATGCAAGCCACAAGTCAGGGCTGGAACAGAGTCTGCACCCTAAAGGGAGCCAATAATAACATTCTCACTCCTCTGCGGCAGAGAGACGCGAGAGACAGAGGAAGAGGAAAGACAGGCAGAGGCCAAAGGATGATCTGCACACACCCCATCATGTTTCTTAGTCCAGCCAACCTATTTCCCTCACCCGAGGCCACTTCCTTCCTCCAGGAAGAGGCCAGGGAGCCACAGAACTGGGTGCTGCGATCAAAGCAAAGCCAGCAAAGCTGCACCCTCAGGGATCCTTCAGGTCACTGATACTGCCAGGGACAAAAGCAAACAGGACACTTCAAATTTGCACTAGGAGATGAAGACAAAGGGCTAGAGAAAGGAGGGGGAAGTCAAGCAAAAGTCTGCTCCCAAAGATCAAAGCTGAGGAAGCCCTGCTTGGTTCTAAACAAAGGGGTTTCCCCTTAGAAGCATCGCGCAGAAACTTGCTCAGTAACCCAACTCCTGGGCTCCATGTTGCAACCGAGGATGGCACGCAAGGAGGACGCGCACCGCTCAGCTTTAGGACTCCTGTCCAGGAAGAAGCCCGGAAATGGGACAGCAGCTGTAACCAGTGTGAGCGGCTTTCCAAACAGCAGGGGACCAGCAGAAGCTCTGGAGCAGCTGGGAGAACAGAAATCTCAGCAACCCACCAAATCTGTTGTTGGTGTTCTTCCAGTGCTCTGGGCTGAACCCCAGGCCTTCACACTGAGCTAAATTCCCAGCCCTTGTTTCTTATTTTTATTTTTTATCTTAGACCACCTCAGGCTGGGCTTGAACTTTTGATCCTCCTGCCTCAGCCTCCCAAAGGGTTGGGATTACAGGTGTGCATCACTGCCTCACTACAAATTATTTTAAAGGCACGGTAGGTTGTTAAAATAGTTCTAGTAACAAAGTGAATGGAGAAGGGCTGGATACAGAGATATAAAGAATTTGAAACAATGAATTATTTTGGACTTTCCATTATCCTAGCTGTCTTTCGGGTTTGGAAACAGGACAAAGGGATGAGATGCTACAAAACTGCTATAAAATTCATTTCCGGTCTCTGTGAAAAAGGCATTCTACTGTGTGGTGGTTCTATAAGAAAGGTACTGCAAAAGCAAGTCACAGAGTAAGGTTATCACAGCTCCATAGCAAGCAAGGGCAGGACTAATAAACCCACAGGGGAACAGTAAAGGCAAAGCCAGTGACTCAAAGAAAGGACTAGTGAGAGACCAAGAGACCAGTCCACGCCCTCACAGCCTCCTTGTTATTTGCTCTTAGGTGTTGCTGGGCACTGGAGACCGCCCCAGGGGCACCAGGTCGCATCCAGGGACTCACAGCCCTCTCCCTCCACAGCCGCAGGTGAGGCGCTGCTCTATGCAGAGCCAGCCCAAGTGCAGTGGCTCAGAACTCACGGCTCATTTTGCTTGCAAATCTCGGTTTGGCAGGACATGTTGAGACAGCTGCATTCAGCTCCACACGGCAGGGGAAGCAGCCTAACGCGGGTGACGGTCCACGGCCAAACAGTCGTTCCTGGGGCTGGCACGCAGGACCCACTGTCG